CAATGACACACGTTGCCGTCTGGAGCGACTCGTTTATGTTCTTACTTGCGGCAAGTAGCTTCGACCGTATAGTGAGCGTGTTTCACGTACTAGCGAATTAGCTTTCAGCGCGTTTTGAAACGAATCGGGAACGGAAGTCGAGATTTAGATTTAAGAACGTGAATCTCTTAAATGTCGATTTAAGACGCCTTGCATATATGAGCTCTTCCGTATTTCAGATTCGCTTTGTTCTTTCAACTACGGATGTGGCAGTCGAAGGTTGATACCCTCTCGAACGAGCGCTTCTCACTCGGCCGGTTAAATTAACGGTTAAAACTGCACGAGTGGCGAATGCCGATTTAACAGGCACGAATTGATTCTAAGTGACTGGCGAGAAGAGCTTCTCGAGACGTGCGAGATCGATCGCGTACGAGATAAGGCCGGAGATGAGAACGCATCATCCAATTAAATCGCCCGGATTTCGTATGCAAATTTGTCATCAGGTGTAAATAAAACAAATGTCGTTCTATGAAAATGCAACCGCCGGAGAAAGAACTATATACTAATATATACTAATAAGAAGTAACTAGACTATAACTTAAGACGATTTTGTATGATTTTCCCGAATTTTTCGATATTTTCATTCATTTCTATTAATTACAGTAAAGCGGAGACTTTTGTTAGATTTATCAAACGTGTGTAACATTTGATTTTAAAATTGATCACTTAATCACCCTTTGTTGCAAATTTTTGTTTGAATATATTCTATTGAAACTTAATTAGTATACATATGTGTGGAGGTCTCTGATTGCAAATTTGAAATCAAAATCTTAAAATAACAGATTTAATCCTCAAAAAAGTTAATGCTTACAATATTAAATTTCTCTAAAAAGTACAATTGTCAAATTAAAAAATTTAATTATATTAATAATTAAAATTTTATACATTTTTAAGAGTTTTTTGACCTCGGATTTTAAATCTACAGTTAAAATTTTAAAATTAAAAATAGCAGGTCTACCGATAAAATTTTTGTTATTCTTTAATAAAAAAGTCCAGCTTTTAGCATAATTCTTAGCAGAACTAACGATGACGTGGTGAGTAAATATTGTAAATGCTCAATATAAGTTTGAGCTAAATATAAGTAATTTTTCAAAATTTTTAATTATTTTGGTCCCCATATTGGAGCAGCTACTTTTAACTTTTATATTTTGAATATAAATTTAAAATTAACAACTTCAAAAAACAAAGTAAAAATTTTAAGATGTAAAGATTTTCAGGATATATTTATTATTTTTCTTTCCAGTATAAATTTTTTCACAAAGTACTATTTTTAACTGATTTTGTTTATAATTTATTGTTAATAATTTTATAATTATATTTTTTATACATACATATAAGGAAGATAAAATACAAATACGTTACACAAATCACTTATGTAATGCGTAAAAAAACAGAAAAAATATAAAAAAGTGTCTCATATATGCAAATGGATCTCTTGCTAAGGTTTTCTTACAGAATTTTAATACTGGATGATAGTGATTAATTATATTTAATTATATTATCTAAAGATTAAAATCACTGAACAAGTGTGTTTTAATATTCAAAATTTTTAGTATTAAATTGGATTTCTGTAAGGGTTAAGAGGATGCTGAAAGGTCGGGAATTACCGACAATTGCAGTTGGAACGATAACTTCGAAAATACTAAACGGAATTAAAATCGCTTTTACAGGATTGAAAGATCGGAAGAGCACACG